CATATCTGTAATTCTAGTTATTCAGGAGGCTGAGATCTGGGGGTCAAGGTTCGAAGCCAGCCTAGGCAGAAGTCTGTGAGACTCTTATCTTCAATTAACACCACTGCTCACCCCTGACCCCAAAGCCGGAAGTGCAGCTGTGGCTCAAGTGGCAGAGTGTCTTGAATGAAAAAGCTAAGGGCAGTGCCCAGATATGAGTTCAAACACAAGTACGGGGGGAGGAAAAAGACAGGAAGGGAGAGAGGGAGAGAAGAAGAGAGAGAGGGAGGGAGGGAGAGAGGGTGGCAGGCAGACAAGCAAAAGCAGGCAACAAAATCTTACTGGGAAGGGAAGTTCCCTTCTCAGAGGCAGGAGCAATAGTTGAAACAACAAGTTCAAGTGCACTGCACAAGCTGATGGGTGCTCTCAAGGGGGCAGAGGTACTAGTCCCACATGCCAGTGGTGGGGAGCATGCCTGGACAGCACTGTGCAGCAGTCCAATGCTGGCCTGCTCTGGTTACCCCCACCCCCCTCAGTAAGTGCTCCACAAAGGGCACCTCCTGTGGTAAAGTTAGTTGGCCCTGGGTCTCCCCCTACCTGGAACACCTCCACAGTCCCTCATACCAGGCTTCAGTCTAATGTGAGGGACAACAGAAGGAACTGCTTTTGGGGGTTCCCTGTTTTCCCGCCTCCTGGCAGAGCACAGACACCAGAGCAGGGACAAGAGGTCAGGCCCGCCAGACCCACTCTGGCCACATGCTCAAAGTGTTGACTAGTGCGGCTGGTCTTTCTCAGGCAAGGCGGCAGAGCTGGCAGGCAGTTCCTAGCCTGAAGACTACAGGGGGCCTCAAGGTGCTGCCCCAGGTTGGTCTCTGTGACTACCTGCAGACTTCACTGCTGCTCCCTTTCCAAGCCAAGAGAACACGGCCTTACTGCTGACCTCAGGTAGCTGCCAGATGTTCTGCAGGTTTGTACGAAATTGTGCAGATGTCAGGCTTGGGTAAGCCTACACATTCTGAGTCCTATGGTGGCCAGTCTCACCAGTGACAGTTGTCCCTACTAGGGGTAGGGAGGGGCACAGTAGAGAGGGCTAGAGGTGTGTAGGCTTGTTTGAATGGAGGTCCATGTGCTGGCTCCCAGCCCTCCTGGCTCAGGTACTCTTGCAGGTTCTATCATGTCTCTGGACCTTACTTCCCTTTCCGGAAAATGTGGGCCAAGCTTCACACACTTGCCTTAAGGGGGCATGGAGGGCTGTCTCCCCCCCGCACGCCCCTCCCTCCCCGCCTCTACTTCACAGTGCTGGGTCATCCTAATGGCCATGAGTGGGGCAGGGTCTTGTAATAAAAACCACAAGAGAGATACTTCTTCCTGACTTGAGAAAGCAAATGTTTTAAAGCCCACAATAAATTAACAGGGTGCTGCTGAGAAAGAAGGCTACAGCAGCCTCCTCAGGGAGGAACACCTGCGTGAACCAGAGTTAGGTTTAGAATGAGCTAGCATCCAGAGCTCCTAGGAATGTCTAAGGGAAAGCAGAGCTATGCAAAGTATCTGCACCCAGGATGTCCATGATCCTCGCAGGAGCCAAACAGCAGGAGACTTGGACGCTCAATGTTCGGGTCCTAACCACAGACCCTCAGCGGGGCACGAGGGCAGCCTCTCCAAGGCTATGTTTTAATAACCTGGGAGATTCCCAGGATGTAATTTACACCACAGTCTGATTTAAGAGGAACCACTGTGCTCAGGGAGTTTTCTCCCTCACACTTCCTCAGTCACTACAATCAATCAACACCACAACAAAGGGAGCACTGGGAGAGAAAAGACCCAAGGCCCCACTGCCAGCATGCTGGCCCCTCCCTACCAGATCCAGGAATGGACTCCAGAGCACTCCAGATCCAGGATTGCTGGCTACACTCCCACCATGGCAGCCAAACCTCCCAGACACCCTACTGAGGAAGCCCACAGTGACCAGTGGCTGTGGAGCCCACGGGGGTGGAATGGGGGCATGGTTGCATGCACCAGGAAAGGGCTCTCTGAGCCAGGAGCAGACATGTCCAAGACCAAAGCCAGCAGGGATGGCTCACAGGCTGGATGCCTGGTCAGGCTCATGCTTCGGGTGTGCACACCTAAGTATAGCTGCTGACAGACCCTGACTCAAATCGCCTTAGTATCAGCCGCCTCTCTGGCTGCCACCTCTAGATGGACACATCCGGCAAAGGTACCTCAGCGGCCGCCAGCAAGCAAACGGCCACTGTAGCAGACACAGGACCACAGTGACCTAACGCTGTGCTCACATGTCTGCTCCTGCTGGAGGGCAGAATGCACTAATTGTTGCTAGAAGTACCCAAGACATTCCAGGAAGGTGGTAGCTCAGAGTGGCCCCAGGCACATGTGCCCTAGCTGGAAGTTGAGAGAAGCCCACACTCAAGACTCCCCTCCCCAGAGTCTCTAAATACTGTGCACACTGGCACCAGAAGAGTGTGTGGGGGGGGCGGGGATGGGGACGGGGAAGGTTCCAGAAGTGCACTCTTAGGCAGGGAGAACGAATCTAGGTGGCCCTGGGAAGGTGGGGATTGGGGGGGGGGGAGTGCTACCTGTAAAGCTGCATAAAGCCCGGTTCAGCCCTCCTCGCTTCCCAGCCTTGCAGTTATTCCAACACACACACAAGGCCCCGGAAGGGCAGGACAGGACAGCAAGGGTGACATCTGAATCTCAACGCCAGGTGCCTTCTGACAGTAGCCACCCTGCCCCTGTGGGCACTGTCCCCTCCATGAGTGGTTGGGTCCCTGGACAAATGGGTGCAAGTGACCTCTAACTTTGCAGCACCAAGGCCTGGCTCCCCACTGGGAGCGGTGGGGTGGGGGAGCACTCAGCAGGTGGTCCTGAGTGCAGCCAAGCCATAAAAGCACAAAGCCACCCTTCCCTTGACCTACTGAACTAGCTTTGCACCAGAGCAGTCTCTTGGATTGGAACTGGATCAGAGGGAGGCGGAAGACGGGAAGATGAGTGACAGGCAGGCACCCACTGCCACCTGCACAGCGGCACAGTAGGGGGCATCCCGAGGGCTCCAAAGGCCTGCCCCCACCTACCTTGTGGCTGCTGAGCCCGCCACTTCCAGTCTGAGGGACTGGTGGTCCACTCGGCACTGCCAGCTGACCATGTGGCCTCCCCAGGCAGGGGTGCTGGGGCTTTCCCAAGCAGCACTGGGGTCACCTGCCTCCCCTGTTCTTCTCATTCCTGGTCCAAGCTTCTGCTCTAGGAGACAAACTATAGGGTGGGGACTGAGGGCCCCTTCACTTTCAGGAACTCAAGGGCTGCCACAAAAGCACTCTGCAATCTGCAAGCTAAGGTCGGACTGCTAGACAGGCTGACTTCAAAACCTCAATCCCTTTCAGCCCCAAGAGCAGGCTGAACTTCTCTTCCCTACAGTTTCACAGGCCTGGTGCTCTCTCCCTCAAGAGTCCTACAGGCAGGGGAGCACCCTTCTGGCCTGGTATTATCTGTCAGTGCCTGGCACCCACAATCTAGAGCTCTGGTTGATGAAGGAAGGCTGGCAGCCATGGCCAGGCCCAGTTTCATCTAGAGTAAGGCAGGAGCATGGGGTGAATCCCATGCCAGGAACACGCATGTGTGTGGCGCAGGCCCTGGCCTGGCAGTGGCTTGAACCATCAAGTTGTCTCAGAACACTTCTTCCTAGGCTGGGAGTTCTGGGCCGGGGAATGTGGCTATATCCTCCCAACTCTAGGGAGAAAGATGATGAGAAGAGAGTGGATGTATTCTCCAGACTGCAGTCAGGATCCCTATTTTCTGACAGCCGGAGAAAGAAGATGGGAAAAGACAAATTGGAGGCTGCGCAGGGAGGGAAACAGTGGCACCGACCAGGAACAGCTGGTCATCTCTAAGCTGGCTGGATGGCGGTGAACCCTCCAATCTACCTGAGCACCTGCCCATACCTTTCTGCGGGTGCCAACAAAAATCCCTCTCACAGAGGTGCCCTGCCTGCCTGTAAAGCTCAGTTCTAACGCAAATATGGGAGACAAAAGACAGGGAGGAAGACCTCACTCTTGCCTCTTCTCAGCCCGACACTCTGGAGAAGGTCCTGCTGGGCACCCTGCAGGACACCCACCGGACAACAGGAGCACCACAGGACAGGGCAAAAACAATCCTAACTTGAAATGTAGAACCCTAGGCACCCTGAGGTCTCCTACCGCGTGAGTGGAGGCCCGGCCCCAGCACCCCGGTGCCCCAGCACCCCGGTGCGCTTGCAGGTCAGTCCAGCCTCCGCCAGCTACTTAGACACGGGGGACACAGAAATGCCGCAAGGCTGCCCACGAGCTCCGGCTGCCCTAGCCTCAATGGTGGGTTCCCCGGGAAAGTACCTCACTCACCCCCCCCCCTACCCCGCAGGCTTTTGTTCCACTTCTCTCCCGAGGCTGGGGAGGACGTGTAGTGAGCCTTCTCCCCGCCCCCAGCTCTGGGTCACACAAGGCCTTTGTTCTACCTGCACACACCGGCGGCGCCCGCCCCGGCCCGGCGGCCGCTCCCCTTCCCGGGAGGCCGGTTGGCCGGCACCCGCGTGGGCTGGGCCCCCACACCACGCCGACCTCCCGTCTCTCCCCACTCCGGGTGCTAGCCAGGACCCGCAGAAGTGAATACTCTGGTGGGCTGCGCTCGCACTCAGAGCCCATTTCCACGCCCAAGCAGCGACGCGCGGGGCTACACGGACCAGCGTGGACCTTTAAACCCCAGACTGGCCTCACGGCGGCCGGCGGCGCACCCTCAGTGGGGCCACCAACAGGGCGGAGGGAGGCGCCCCAGGAGATGTCCAGGCGCAGAAGGGGCAAAAGCAGAGAAAAGAGGGTGAAAGGGAGGTCAAAGGGCAGGGGTGGCAGCTGCGGGAGCCCCGCGGCGAGCCGGGGGTGCGGCGGATAGAGGCGGCTCGGCACCGTCCAGTGGGAGCGCGGCCCCGGCTCGGGAGCGCAGCGGCACCCGGGGATCCCGCCACCCCCGCGGCAGGCGCTCACCTGGGCGTGCGCAGCGCGGCGGGGTCGCGGCGGTCCAGGACGCCGGGCACGCAGTTGGTGAGTTCGGTCCAGTCGGCGTGCAACCCGCAGCTCCAGCCGGTGGAGAAGCGCGAGAAGAGCCAGGTCTCGCGGCGGTTGGGCCGGTAGCAGGTGCACTTCTTCTGGCCCGGGCGGCAGTCGCAGGGGACCTCGAGGCGCACGTTCTGCACGAGGTGGCGACCGAAGGTGGTGCCGCCGGTCTTCTGGATGTGCAGGAAGACGATCACGTCGTCGCCCTTCATGTCGAAGCGCAGCGAGCGCTCCAGCTCGCGCACCGGGAAGTAGTACTTCTTCTCGTAGTGCGGGTCGGGCGTGGGGAAGAGGTCCAGGTCGTCGGGCGGCGCGCGGCCGCCGGGCGCGCCCAGGCTCAGCCCCGGGCCCGCGTACTGGTACAGGATGAGCATGAAGCACGCCGAGCCCGCCACCACCAGCACGAACTTGCTGGCGCGCTCAACCATGGTCCTGCCGCCGGCGCGCCGCCGCCGCATGTGTCACCATCGCCGGCGGCCCG